AAGTGAAGGTATTCCGGTTAATACACAAAATATTGAGGAAGTAAAGACTTGACCTAGACCCACGACACTGACGGAGGTTCGTAGCTTTCTCGGTTTGGCAGGTTATTACAGGAAACTTGTAAATGGATTTTCTTCTCTTTCAGCACCTTTGACAAAAGTAGTGTGACGACGTGATGTCTCGCTTGATGTTCCATAATAACATAAGGAAATATATGGTGCAAACAAGTTGAAGGAAGGTTGCGAATAAGTATAAATAGATATGTGTATCGCAAGCTAAAGTATGGTAGAGCGACAAGGTTTTAGGAAGACAGGAATAAGGATAAGAAAAGGTGAGTGAGAAGGTGATGGGAATGGATAAGTCCTTGGGATTAAGCCTATGAAAATAAGAGAGATGATGGTTTCTATAAGTCATAGAAAGCTAAGTATAGCCTGAGTGAACTCAAAGGAGTCTAAGACCAGTAGCATTTAGAAGAGATGGAATGATGCCATGGTAGTGGAATAAGGGCGTAATTGTGATAGATAAAGGATGACGTTTGGGCTTTTAAAAGGAGGAATTTCATGAATTGTAAAAGATTAGAATACCCATGTAAGTTGACTCAAAAGGGAGATAAGTTTCAGTGGACTGATGCTTGCGAATGGAGTTTCCAGGCATTGAAAGACAGATTAACTTAAGCATCGGTTTTAATGCTCCCAGAAGGGACCAATGGTTATATTATTTATTATGATGCCTTGGGCATTGGGTTGGATTGTCTACTAATGCAGCATGGTAAGGTTGTAGCTTATGCTTCTAGACAACTGGGAAAGCACGAGAAGAATTACCTGACCCACGATTTAGAGTTAGCCGCAGTGATTCATGCACTAAAGATGTGGAGGCACTACTTGTATGGCATTCATGTTGATATCTATACGGATCATCAGAGCCTCCAGTATATCTTCAAGCAAAAGGAATTGAATTTACGTCAAAGGAGGTGGTTGGAGCTACTTAAAAATTATGACGTTGATATTTTATACCATCCGGGGAAGGCGGACGTGGTAGCCGATGCCCTCAGCCGTAGATCTATGGGTAGTCTGTCATATTTACAGCCAGAGAAGAGGGGAATAGCCCATAAGATTCATCATCTAGCTAGTCTTGGAGTTCGATTACTAGACTCAGGTGATATTGGAATTACTATTCAGGATACGGCAATATCCTCCTTAGTAACTGAAGTGAAGGAACGCCGGTACGAGGATCCTGTGTTAGTTCATTATAGGGATACCACCCCATAGAAGGAGAAGACACCGTGTGAGATTAAAGAAGATGGGGTCCTCAGATATCGAGGACAATTATGTGTCCCTAATGTTGCAGGGCTGCGTCGGCAGGTTATGGGAGAAACTCACTATTCTCGTTATTCTATCCATCTAGGAGCAACAAAGATGTATCATGATATCAAGGAGGTATATTGGTGGGACGGAATGAAAAAGGATATAGCGGAGTTTGTTGCTCAGTGCCCTAACTGGCAGCAGGTTAAAATTGAGCTTCAAAAGCCGGTGGATTATTGCAGACTATGGAGATTCCGACTTGGAAATGGGAAGTAATTAATATGGATTTCATCATAGGCTTACCTCGTACCCATTGTAAGTTCGATTCTATATGGGTAATTGTTGATAGGCTTACAAAATCAGCCAATTTTCTGCTCGTTAGGACTACATATTCCGCAGAGGATTATGCAAGGCTTTATATGAAGGAGATAGTACGACTGCATGGTGTCCCTGTCTCTATTATCTCGGATCGAGGAGCTCAATTTACAGGATTAGGGACTCGGGTAAGTCTTAGTACAACATTTCATCCCCAGACAGACGGACAAGCTGAGCGTACTATTCAGACACTTGAGGATATGTTACGAGCTTGTGTGATAGACTTCAAGGGTAGCTGGGATGATCATCTGCCGCTTATTGAGTTCGCATATAATAATAGCTACCATTCCAATATTCAGATGGCTCCATACGAAGCTCTTTACAGGCGAAAGTGTAGGTCGCCTATAGGGTGGTTCGATGTTGGGGGAAACTACGTTAGTAGGACCAGAATTGGTACAACATGCAATTGAGAAAATTAAGCTTATAAGGGAAAGGCTATTAGCAGCTCAAAGCCGTCAGAAGTCTTATGCAGATAATTGACGGCAAGACTTGAAGTTTCAGATTAATGACTGGGTATTCCTAAAGGTATCACCAATGAAAGGTGTCATGAGGTTCGGTAAGAAAGGAAAACTTATCCCTCGGTACATTGGACCATATAGGGTCATACGCAAGGTGGGTCAGGTAGCATATGAGTTGGACTTGCCTTCGGACTTGGAATCTATTCATCCAGTCTTTCATGTATCTATGCTCCATAAATGTATCGAAGATCCTTCCAGAATCGTGTCAGTTGACGACGTTCAGGTCACAGAGCAACTATCATATGAAGAAACTCCCATTGTCATATTAGACAGACAGGTTCGAAGATTGAGAACTAAAGACGTAGCTTCGGTAAAAGTACTTTGGAGAAACAACAATGTGGAAGAAATGACTTGGGAGGCCGAGGAAGACATGAAGTCTAGATATCCGTACTTAATTCCTCCTCCAGAGAAGGGTCTGACTGAGACATCTCAACCTTAAGGTACGTGTATGGATTCTTGTGTTAGTTATTGTCATTGGTAGTGTAAGGCCATTGTCGTTATTGATGATTGTGGTCTTATGTGGCATTGAATTATTGAGTTCTACAGGAAGAGTTGGTAGTAGTATTGTTACGAAGGCTACTTTGCCAAAGTTATATAGATCCCAGGAAGTTAAACATTCGAGGACGAATGTTTGTAAGGGGGGAAGGATGTTACATCTCGCATTTTGGTATGTTAAAGTTTCGCCTTCAGTTAATCGACGTAGACTCGGGGATGATATTATCTTAAGGTTAACGTATTTATGCTATTTATAACAAGCAATAAGTAAGTGCCATGAAGGGTAAAGGATACACGAATTAAAGAAAATGAGTTTCGTTAAAGGTTGCCGATTTGGGGATAAAATACGATCCGAGCTATAATACTCGATATTTATGGACTAGTATCATACAAGGTACCAAGTGACCATGATAGTATGATGTATAAGGTATATTAAAAATGAGTAGAACTTTAAGTAATGTGAGACAATTCTTAATTATGCGGGTAATTGATTAATTATCGGGTAACGGGACATTACCTAGTTAATTAATAAATTATAAGATAAAGATTAAAAAAAACCTCCCAAAACGTGGCAGCAAGCCACTTCTTGAGAACATGACTATTAGTTATCTTTGGTTAGGTGGCAAGTAACATGTCAAGAACAAAGACACCTCTTTTCTTATGATTTAAATACAAAGACTTGTAAGTAAGGTGTTAAGTACAAAACCTTTCATTTATATTAATTGAATACAAAAGACTTCATATGAGAACTTAGCAACACTTTACTTCATAACAGAACGTTAGTAATTCTTACAATTCAAGTTCCTTCAAAGACATTAACAACGAGATTTCTTCAACCAAATCCAACGAAGAATTATTAGAAGCTTAACAACGTAAAACTTTTGCGGTTCTAAAAGAGTACGGTGCAACTTTTTCCAAGAATATCATACGGATTTTTTCCTACTCCAGGTATGTTAAGGCTATCCCTTCTTTCTTTTTGGCATGATCCAAATTATACAGAAGAAACGAGCAAACGCACAGTATTCATAAACGACTATATTCATAGAAATACTAGGGGTCTCTGTGTCCTTGATTCCCCATGTGACATATTATTATATCTTCTGTACATGGGTCTCAGAATAATACGCAGTTGATAAAAGTTTATCCGAAAGGAATATTGAGATTATTAACATATTTTCATGCATTTCATTCATTTATACATGTACATTGACCCATGACCAGATGATGTTATATACGCGTATTTATATGTATATGTATATATATGTATATGCGATATGGGAAAAAGGGTACGGCGTTATATACGCACCACCACCTGATCAGTTGGTATATGTTGATGATGTTGCCCACAGTGGCCGAGACGATATGATGGGATGCCCTCAAAGGCTTGATGATGTTATGTACACCTATGCATATGCATGACACTACATTTATATGCACGTGCATGACATTATAAATGTTTCAGAAATTACAAAGTTATTCAGACTTACAGATGGATTTCTTTATTCCATGTTTCATCTATGTCTTTTATGTACTGATTTTCATGCCTTACATACTCAGTACATTATTCGTACTGACGCCCTATTTTCCGGGGCCTGCGTTTCATGCCCGCAGGTGTAGATAGGCAAGTCGACGGTTCCCCTTATACTTAAGTTGTAGCAACAACAACATATGTATACATATTAATGCTATACTAACATATANTATATATTATTTATTTAAAAGCTAATTATATAAATTGACAAAAACAGACCGACTTCGGTCGGTAATTTCATAAAATTTATATTTTAATTATTTTAAAATTGTATTTCCGACCGAACTCAGTCGGAAAAATTTAATTAAAACTTATTTCGGTTGGTAAATTATATATATATATATAATTTTTGTTATCTTAAAAAACCAATTGCCTTGGGCGGGAAAGAATAATTTCAAATATACCGACCGAAATCGGTCGGTATATTTGAAAATTTTTAATTAGAAATTATTTTTGTAGATAATATGCAAGTATGACCAGGTCTTGGTCAAATATTGACCAATTTCCGACCAAAATCGGTCGAAATATTTATATATTTGTTGTGAGATCACTATTTCCGTTGTCAGAAATATTTTTTTTGTCTTTTACAACCAATTTACTTATTTTCCGACCGATTTCGGTCGGTATTCTATGGACGGATTTTGCCAGTTTTCTAGTAGTGTCATCGTAAAGTTATGTTTCAACAATTGTTATCAATATATTACAGCTTGGAGATCTAAATATGATAGCAAATACCATACATTTATTATTAATTAATACATATGTTTGTCAAAGTCGACAAATCCTAACATGAAATATAAAATGTATATATTAATCATAAATCAGAAAATATCTTACACAATTATTTTTTTTGGACATCATGGCTCCATTTATTTTTCACTATTAGTACATATATACGTAAAAGAACGGTATGAAAATCCTTATTTTTAGACAACCGGTGATGGCTTAGCAGACTGCATAAATTAAATTATCATGAGAGAGGAGGAATACTTTGTTCATTCCTAAAGAAATTTGTTGGATCAACTTTAGTCTTCACTTGCACCAATCTATCAAAGTTGTTCTTGAAGTATTTCTCTCCCCAGATTTTTGCTTGTGCATAGCTTGTGTTTCTTTTGTTGTTCACTCCCAAATCAAGATCTCTGTAGTTGAAATAAGCAGCTCTTGGAGATTTGGACACATACCTAGCCATATATCGATAAAGATTTCGAATCCAAGCTATATGTTTTTTAGAACTTTCTATTTTTTCCCAAGCCACCCCATAATGGATCATAAATATATTTCCAGCTCTATGTGGGAATGGAGTTTCAGATTCTATGAAGTCATTCAATTTTCCTCCGTAAGGACTGAGTTGTAATTCGGCTAAGTTTTCATCTACTAGGTTGAACAGTTTCCATATACCTTTGAGACCATTTATAGAAATTGGTTGTTGGACATAATCTGATTTCCCTTTAAAGTATCCCCTTTGAGTAGCTGTGATGTTCCTATTTAGTAACACATCAAGTGATGTGCCCCTAGGGAAACCAGCAAAGAAGAGTATAGATTCGATCCAACTCATCTCAATGCAATCTTCTTTCACCAACCCTAGTTCGGGGAAGCTCTTTTGCATTTCGTGGAGGATTTCATCGACTCCTCCAACGAACATAGTAGTGAAAGAGGCGTGGACAGTCCTTTGCCCGCGCCGAAATGGAGATTCACTGCTCCTCAGGAAGAGCCTGAGGAGGAGATTGTCATCAACTTTGTCCGCGATATGTTGCCATTTGTAGACAAGTTGAGTTGCATTTTGTTCTAACGTCCGTGTCACGTTGAAGACCGTCACCTTTTCTGGAATATCAAGTAATCTCACCTTCCATGAAATAATGAGGCCAAAGCTAGTCCCTCCACCTCCTCTAATAGCCCAAAAGAGATCTTTCCCCATTGATTTTTTATCCAATATTCTTCCGTTGGCATCAATTAGCTTAGCATCAATAATGTTATCAGCAGCAGTACCGAATTTTCGAGACATCATTCCATAGCCTCCACCACTAAAGTGTCCTCCAACACCAACAGTAGGGCAAACCCCGGCAACAAAAGCTAGTGTTTTACTTTTCTCGGCGATTCTATAGTAAACTTCCCCTAAGGTCGCGCCAGCTTGAATCCAAGCAGTCTTGTTTTCGGTATCAATGGAGATTGATCTTAGGTTTCTAAGATCAATGATGACAAAAGGGGTTTCAGAAATGTAAGAAAGGCCCTCATAGTCATGTCCACCGCTTCGAATTCTAATTTGTAAGCCATGTTTCTTGGAGCAATGTATAGCTGCCTGGATTTGAGATTCGTCTAAAGGAGTGAAAATAATTGATGGTTTGAAGTCGGAGGTTATCCTTAGGTTACTTTCAAAAGAGTTCAAAATGGTGGAATATGATGAGTTTTTAGGTGTGTAGATGATTTGTGACATTGAATTTGAGTTCATAGTTTTGTGAGAAAGGCATTCAAGAAAGTCATGATGGATACTTGCTGAGGTAAACCATGTTGATGAAAGGCAAACTGAAAGAAAGAGAAAGATTTTGAACTTGTTGAAAGTTGTCATGATTTCTTGTTGCAAAGTTTGATGGTGAAATTGGAAACAAAAGAAGTTCTATTTATAGTTTTGGCTTGGGCTAAAAGAAGCTCAGTTTCAAACCCTAGGACCACGCGTGGTATGAAATTTTAATGCTTTCACCTACCTCTTTCGTGTAACATTTCCTAATTTGTGGTAGAATTGTCAACGAATTTCTTTAGTTGTAAAATTAAAGTTGAAGTCTACGTGCATGCATATATTTTTCTCTATTGCTGTTAACCATGTAAACCTATCATTTTTTTCAGCAGAAACTAACACCCCTAAGTGCTAATTAAAGATTAAAGAGTATATAGTAGCTGGGCTGGTGTGTTCTTTCACTAAGTACTTGTTATTTCTAGATTCATTCTTTGTTTTAACAATCGTCATTTAGTTTACAAACTTGTGAGCTAAACATGAAAATTGATGGGCAGAAATAGTCGTTTTACCTTGGAACATACGTTCTTCCAAAGTGTAAATGTAGTTGTAATTTTTCCGTGCAAGAAAAGTATATCCATTTTAAAGACTGGTCATTTTTATTATTCATGAGTATAAAAGATGTTCACGCTTCCTCACGTTTTTTGGTCGTAACATGTAATAGTATTTAAATAAACTAATCCGAGAAATATCTTCTAGATTTGATTAAGACACCTACTCTTGCATAATATTGGAGTCACTTACCAGCCATAATGAGAATGCATTCTGGAGTACTTTTTGCTCTTTCTTTTCAGAAATATATTCCTTATTCAGTTGGTGAAGATCGATAGGTTCGCGATTAGAGTAATTTGTCAATATATTACATCGCTCTTAATTAATAAAGAAACTTATGTGAAAAAATTAACATTTCCTCTGCATTTAATGGAATATACGAACATAATGACTAAACAAATACTCAGTTCCTTAATTTAAACTTTTGTCCGACTTGACTTTTCAAAAGTCAAATTAAACCTTAATTTAAAAAAGCGCATTTTTATGAAAATTGATGGGTTTCTTTTTTCTTTCTTTTTCTGTCAAATTTATTATATGAATATTGTCCCAAAAATAACTTTGATCATATCCACTTTGACATTTAAATGATAAATATTGACAAAGATTATGAGATAAAGCTAATAATTTTCTTAGATACTATCTGATGGAAAATTATGTTCCACACATGATCATAAATCCTTTTTTCCACATATTATACATATCTCTACGGGTGAAAAATGAGAGTGCAGAATATTCAAGACTTGTAATTGTGGTCCAACATACGTGCGTAAGTTATATAGTCTATTCTCACAGATACTTACTGCTCCATATATGATCTGTTTTTTTTTTTTTTAATTGTTATCATTTGCAAGCTTTAGTCAATATTTTACGTTTATGCACAACCGCATCACTTTTCGAACTTATTGGTAAAGAAATTTTTGTTTAATTTCTTTTCCTGCAAAGCATATTGGCAACATTATATTTGGTCTAATCAACAGTTTTTCATTAGGACAGATCATGAAAAGGTATTCGAAGAGCCAAGGTAAGTTGAACAAAAAAGCATTTTCTTAATATAAATGGGAAGAGTACATAAAAAAAAATAATGTGATTGCCGATACTCTAGTGATTTTAATTTTCACCAAGTCCTTAGCGCTTTTGGTCGATTTGTATACTTGAAGATCTATGTGGTCAGGGTATGGAACAACTTTTTGTATTTTATTTCTTGTCACCCACAAACAGAAAAATATGACTCTTCAAATAATAATAATATCATGTAAAATGGACGGATGATTATTATAATTTTGTTGATTCAATAGTTAGTTCATAGACATTATGTTTTAGGATATGCATCTTTTCTGGAAATTGCACCAATTGATAAAAGAGGTGAAAGTAATTAGGAAGCATCGGTGGAGTGTGGACCATCCCAACTCAACACCAACAAAAAAGATGGGTTAAAAAAAATCCAGAGATCAAGTTCCTTATAGGGAGAAAAATGAATAATTCAACATATACAATATGAATATAGGGCCAAAAGAATAATAAAGTATATGAACCACAAAAAAGTTAACTGCTGGTACCAAAAAAGCTGAAATAAAAATCCATCTTGATTCTCTTCACATAAAACAGAAATTTGTGATCTCAAATTGCTGATTTCTTGATCTTGTGTCGGTAAAACGCCTTCTTCTTCTTGCTAGAAGTGTTCTTGATTGTCAGCACAATCTTTCCTGCTTCATTGTTCTTGAATGTGTTGCGAATCGGCGAGCTCAACTTCTTCTCCTTCTGAATGATAATTGTGTAAGAGTTGTCATCCTCTGGCACAAATTCCTCCTTATAGCTCACTTCCCCGCCCACAATTGTAACATCCCAGATAAATGTACTTCCCACCTGACATAATTTTAATAGAAATTTAAGTGCCAAAAGAAATTCAGCATCACCATATAATAAAAGGGAAAGATAAAGTCTCAACATAACCAAGATTTCATTCCCAAAGTTACCTCTGCTGCAGGTATTTCAATGGTTTCAGTTGATCCAGCTTTAAGGAGAATTTCTGAAGCTTCACAGTCAGAGGCTGAAAACTCAAAGTCATTCTCCCTCTTGAGTCCACCATATTGAATTGGGATTTCTTGGATTGGAATGTACCTGCTCAACCCAAACAGTTCAGCATTAGCATCCAATGGACTAAAAATAAAAATTTCGCATTTCAGAGACTAGAAGTGCTACATAAACCATAAACTGAACTCGTTAGAAGTTTAAGAAACAGGAAAAAAGAAGCTTACTTAAACAAGGTCTCAGTGACCTTGGCAGGACGAGCAAAAACAAATTTGCTTTTGGTTCTTTGAGTTAGGAAAGGAGAAAGCAATGACTGGAAAGCATAATACCAAAATGGAACATTGATGAATATCTGAAAAAACAAACAGGTGAAATTGTCAGATCAACACTATTAAGATTTATAAAATATTCTCATTACCAGTCTCTATCTTAGCCAAAGTAAGATACATTTCACAACCTATATTTCTGCAAAATGTTGTCACACGATCCTGTACAGATATTTTCGGAGCGTCCGAGCAACATAGTTCTCAACTATATATGCTTGCACTTTATTCTAAGAACTCACTAACTGAAAGTAAAAACAAGGAAGATGAAACTGAAGACTCACATTTTTTGCAACAAATTCAGGATAGTTATCCTGAAGAAGATCAACAGCTTGTTTTGTAGCAACCCTGACCTCTTTCTTTGATGGTCCAGGGGAGTTCTTCAGATCATTAATCTGAAGCAGTGAACTGATACCTCCAGCCTTGAAATCAAGCTTCTGAATACCCTTCTCCATTAATTGCACCCTCCACCTCAAGAACTGCTTACGCTTCTCCTCCGTCCCGAATGTCTTGTTATACAGCTCTTGATCATCCAAAACTCCAAAAATGTTGTAACAAATGGGGTGTCCTTGGTTATCAGTTCCACTCATGTAAGCAGTTGGAGCAAGATCTGACCCTAGATCTTCCTCCAAGATGGATTCGATCTTAAAATCCTTCCTCCACTGGAGTGTTTTCTTGAGCATTTCAAAAGATTCATTCACTTTGTAATCCCTTGCTCTCAAGAATTTCAAGAGAATTACATTGGTTTTCTCATCCCCTTTGCTAGGCAAAAGGGGTACACCCCAAATGGAGATCTCTTTATCCACTTCATCAACATCCAAATCACCCTCCTTCTCGTCCTCTTTATTTTCCTCATTCTTTGTCTCTTCCTCTTCTACTTTCTCAACAACCTTGTTCTCATCATCTTTCTTTTCTTCCTCTTCACCTGATGGTGATTTCTCTAGGGACTTTTTGGTGGTACTCTCTTCTTTTTTGAAGAGGGTGTTACCAAGAATGGCCTCCTCGAGCTTTGATTTGAGATCATTCAAGGCCTTCTTCTCATTCTCTTTGAGATCAGAGAGAAAGTTGCTCTCTTCTCTATAAGAAGAGCTCTTCTCCATTGCCTTTGGCTTGGTCTCCTCCTCCTCTTCTTCTTTTACTTTCTCATTCTCAACCTCCTCAACAATCTTCTTAGCCTCTAATTCTTCTTTTGGAACAACTACCTCAGCTACTTGAGTTGCCTCAGATTGCACCTCTACAGTCATGTTTGATTGATAAATAACACAAAATTTTGTATTGGATCTTGGCAATCACCTCCTAAACAGCTGAAAATTTAAGAATGTGAGAGAAAATTTGGGACCCCTATCAAATGCCCTAAAAATAGCCAAAAAAGTACTCATAATACAACAGTCATCTCTCAGTCCCAAACAAGTTGGGATTGGCTATATAAATCGTGACTATGTTCCCCATTTAAAACCATCTCAAGCAAACATTTTATAAAATAAAAATGAAAATGAAAAATATAGAAGTTCTCATCTCCTACTAGCATAAGAATCTCTAACAAGATGTAATTGAAACCCCCCTACTAAACCACTGTAAAAGATAAAGAAAATGTCACAAATTTTCTTACTACAAATTGTTCTAAAAACCAAAGAAGCAGCTCCTGTGAATTCATTTCAGAAGTAGAAAATTGAAACTTGGAAAATGTCACAATTTACTAGTCAGGCGAAACCAGAATTTGAAGTGTATGGTTTGTTCTAAACTAATAATTTATACATATTAAATGAATTATTTAAGATAAATATAAAATTTGGACCCAAAATTATTAGATTAGGCCGAACTAGTAACTTAGTCTCTAGCTCCGCCATAACTCCCTTATGTAAACATATCCGTTTAACAAAATCAGCAAATTCAACAACAAATAGTGAGAAAAAGAAAACTCGAAACCATAAAATTGAAGAGAGAGAAAAAAGGAGTAGCAAACTTGTGATTATTAAGGGAAAAGAAAGAAAGGAGTTAAAATTCACCTTAGGGACTTCAACGAGCTGCTCTCTGTCAATTCTCACAATCGCTCTGTCGTTTGGGAGGTATTTGGGATGAGAAGTGAAGAGGGGTTTTGCAACGGTTATATATTTTTTTGAAAATCTCAAAGTGTTTGTGGGGCCCAAAACGGTCTAATTTAATTTGTAGGGTGACACCGCACCGCAGGCATGTTAGAGCCGTTGGAGGATTCTTTTTTTTCTAGGCAGTAGGCTGTATTCCAGCAAACGTGATTTGTCCTTAATCATGTTTTTGGCCCCACAACCAACATTTTATTCGCTAGGCTTTAATCATTTGACTCGGTCCAACTCCCACATTTTAGTAAGAAAATGTCAATTTTTCTGACACAAATTGGCTCTTAATTAAGTAGTACGAGTAACTAGTAGTAGTAGTAATAAAGAATATTCCATTATAACTCCAGTTTCACAAGGAAAAAATTGAAAGAAACCCAAAAAAAAAAAAATTAGATCATATAAACAAAGCTTACTAACTCAAACATCTCTCAATAAAGAAATACGAGTAAACTAGAACAATATAGTAATTGAGACAAATATATAAGAGGGAGAATGGTTTTGTTATTTCTTCTTGGGGGTGTTTTTCATAGGGTCAAAAGTTCCCTATTTATAAAGGTGCAAATAAATTCAAAGGTTATAAGTTAATGTACTTCTTAATTGAGTACATGAATACAAAGTACGTTAAATGGACAGACAAATGCATTCATCTCAATTACGTGCATTCATCTCATAACACTCCCCTTTGGATGTCCATTTAAAAGATAATGTGCCTCGTTAAAACCCTACTAGGAAAAATCCAGTGGGAAAAAGTCTAGTGAAGAAAAAAGAGTACACATATATTGTAATACGCATTGAGTGCTGCCTCATTAAAAATCTTACTAGAAAAACCCAATGGGGACAAGACCTTGGTTAAGGAAAAAAGAGTACAACACGTACTATACTCCCCCTGATGAAAACTTTATTTGATATCTCGGAGACGGTGCATTCCAATCTTATGTCTCAGCTTCTCAAATGTTGATGTTGGCAATGCCTTTGTGAACAAATCTGCCAGACTATCACTTGAACGGATTTGTTGAACATCTATCTCACCATTTTGTTGAAGATCATACGTGAAAAAAAGCTTTGGTGAAATTTGTTTTGTTCTGTCTCCTTTGATATATCCTCCTTTTAGTTGAGCTATGCAAGCAGCATTATCTTCATACAATATCGTTGGAATTTTCATTTTTAAAGAAAAATCACACAGTTGTTGAATGTGTTGAGTCACTGATCTCAACCATACACACTCTCGACTAGCCTCATGAATAGCTATTATCTCTACATGATTGGAAGATATAGCAGCTAAAGTTTATTTTATTGAACGCCATGAAATAGTTGTACCTCCACAAGTAAATAGATAGCCTGTTTGAGATCGGGCTTTATATGGATCAGACAAATAACCTGCATCTGCATAACCAGTCATTTGTGAATCGGATTCATAAGAATAAAATAATCCCATATCAATAGTCCCTCGGAGGTATCTAAAAATATGCTTAACATCATTATAGTGTCTTGTTGTTGGAAAAGAACTAAATCTTGCTAATAAACTTACTGCAAAAGTTATATCTAGTCGAATATAATTTGCAAGATATATTAATGCCCCAATTGCACTAAGATATGGAGTTTCATCACCAAAAAGTTCTCCATTATTTTCATAAGGTCGAAATGGATCTTTATTTATATCAAGTGATCTCACAACCATCGGGGTACTCAATGGATGTGCTTTATCCATATAAAAACGCTTTAGGATCTTTTCGGTATAAGTTGATTGATGGACAAAAATTCCATCTTTTATATGCTCAATTTGTAGACCAAGATAAAATTTTGTCTTTCCAAGATCTTTCATTTCAAACTCTTTCTTCAAATAGTCTACTGCTTTTGGAAGCTCCTCAAGAGTTCCAATAATATTTAGATCATCAACATACACAACAATTATAACAAATTCAGGTCCAGGCCTTCTTATAAATACACAAGGACAAATTGGAATATTTTTATACCCTTCTTTCAGCAAATACTCACTCAGGCGATTATACCTCATTCGCCCTGATTGTTTCAATCCATATAAGAATTTTTAAAGCTTTATTGAACAAGTTTTCTGAAAACTTTTATTAGTTTCAGGAACTTTAATGTAACGACCTCGCTGGTCGTTTTGAGAGTAATAGCCATGATCCCCTATTTATTGTTTCCCCCGTACCTTTTTCTGCTTATGTGACTTGCCGGGAGGTATTGTTTCTGGTTACGGAGTATTTTAGGACACTTAGTCCCTAAAACGGGAGCTTAAGTCTTAGGATTTTTTACCGTAATCGGAACTGTGTGAAGACGATTTCGGAATGGAGTTTTGTCAGTTTCGTTAGCTCCGTTGGATGATTTTGGACTTAGAAGCGTGTCTGAATTGTGTTTTGGAAGTCCGTAGCCCATTAAGGCTTGAAATGGCGAAAGTCGAATTTTTGGAGATTTAGGCCGGTAGTGAAAATTTTGATATCGGGGTCGGATTCTGATTCTGAAAGTTGGAGTAGGTCCGTAATATTGAATATGACTTGTATGCAAAATTCGGGGTCAATCGGACGTGGTTTGGTTGGTTTCTCTATCAATCGTCGAATTTAAAAGTTTCAAGTTCTTTAAGTTTGAATCGGAGGGTGATTTGTGATTTTAGGGTTGTTTGATATGGTTTGAGGGCTCGACTAAGTTCGTATGGTATTTTAGGATTGGTTGGTATGTTTGTTCGAGATCCCGGGGGCCTCGGGTGAGTTTCAGGTGCTTAACGGATTGTGTTTGGGACTTATGCAATTGCTGGAGCTGTTGCACCTGGTGTAATCGCACCTGCACACTTTGGGTCGCAGGTGCGGCGCCTCAGAAGCGTCCATGGAGCCGCAGAAGCGGTTTTGACCCTGTCCAGCTGGGACCGCATGTGCAGCCATAGATCCGCAGAAGCGGAAGAGGAGCACAGATGCAGGCTCGCAGAAGCGGCCTTTGTTCGTAGATGCGAACTCAGCCCCCTTAAGTGATTTTCGCACCTGCGATGGAATTTCCGCAGGTGCGGTTGAAGGCTAATAGAAGTGAGATTTCTAGGCAGAAAAGAGGAAAATTGAGGGTTTGATTCATTTCTTCATCTTTGGATTTGGGAGCTCGAGAATTGGCGATTTCTTTAGGGATTTTCAGAGAGACCTTTAGGGTAATGATTTCTAACTCATTTTTTGTTGTATTTCATTAATCTATAGTTGTTTCCTCCATTTAATTTCAGATTTTGATTGAAAAGTTGGGAAAATGGGGGAAAATTTCCCTAACCGAATTTCTGAGTTTTGATTGGGATTTAGACATCGGATTTGGTTAATTTTAGTACGAGTGAACTCGTGAGTGAATGGGTGTTTGTATTTTGTGACTTTTACCCGATTCCGAGACGTGGTCCCGGGTAGACTTTTTAGGACAAATTTCGAAATTTTTGTTAAATATTGATTTCATTAATTAGATGAGTCTATGATGGTTGTATTCATGATATGCAATTGTGTTTGGCTAGATTTGGGCCATTCAGAGTCGGATAATCGAGGAAAGGGCATTCCTACGGATTGATTGAGCTTGACTCGAGGTAAGTGGCTTGCCTAACTGTGTGTGGGGGAAATCCCCTTAGGATTTGGAACTATTGTGATATGTGAGCGCCGTGTACGTGAGGTGACGAGTACATACATGGGCTAGTTGTTGTAAAACCCGATTTTTTTTTTTATTGAGCAGCAACTTGTTCTCCTTTTTATTTTAAGTTATACCATTTTAATGATTATTAATTTATTTTCACTCTTAATTGAGTTATTCCAATATGTGTAGCTATCTTGTTTAGTCTAATATCACATGTCTACGTACTTTAACTGCTTACTTGAACTCTGTGAAGCATGCCTAGTTTATTTCCTACTTTTTCCTTATTCTTTATCAGTATAGTCGTGGAAATCTTAGTGTTAACTGTTGTATTTGTCGTTTGATCTGTATATTTACTTTGGGACTACGGAACGGTATTTCGGGAGATCCCCCTGTATTGCATATTTACTTTGGGACTACGGAACGGTATTCCGGAAGATCCCCTTGTATATTTACGTTTGGGACTACGAGACGGTATCTCGGGAGATCCCCTGTTGTTATCTCTGTGTATTGAGCTGTTACCTTCTATGAATTCTTTCTTATTAAATTTCAGTCTTTATTCTACTGCGATATTTCATTCCTGCCTTGCTTTATTATTATATATACCAGTAGGGTCCTGACCTGACCTCGTCACTACTCGATCGAGGTTAGGCTTGGCACTTACTGGGTACCAATTGTGGTCTACTCATGCTACTCCCTGCACATGTTTTTCGTGTGCAGATCCAGGTGCTCCTTATCAGCCACACTGTCAGTGAGCCAAGACAGCTTTGGAGACTTCACGGTATATTTGTCGCGTCCGCAGACCTCGAAGTCCCCTTCTACACTTCCCCATGTCCATTATCTTCTGTATTTTCTTTTGATAGACTCTGATGTATAGAGACACTAGATTTTTCTTCTGTAGTTTATGATTCACGATGTTCCGGGTTTTAAAAATATTGTGTAGTATATTGGGGAGTTGGTTATTGTACATGCCAAGCGGCATGGTATTCAGTTATGGTGTTATTGCTACAGTTAATTTTTAAATTCATGTTTTCATTTTATTTTTTCGCAAATGTTAGGCTTACCTAGTCATAGAGACTAGGTGCCGTCCCGACGTCATATGGAGGGGAAATTGGGTCGTGACATTTAAGCCCTTCAGGGATTTTCATATAAATTTCGTTGTCTAATGTGCCATACAAGTAGGCTGTGACAACATCCATCAGACGCATATCAAGTTTTTCATGGACTGTCAAATTTATAAAATACCTGAAAGTGATTTCATCCACCACAAGAGAATATGTCTTCATATAATCAATGCTAGGTCTTTGCGAAAATCCTTGTGCCACAGCTCGTTCTTTATATCTAACGACTTCATTTTTATCATTTTGTTTTAGCACAAAAACCCATTTGTATCCCACTACTTTATTCCTTCAGGTGTTCGGACTATACGTCTGAATGCTTCACGTTTTTCAAGTGACGCTAATTCTGCCTGGATAGCGTCTTTCCATTTTGGCCAATCATTTCTCTATCTACATTCATCGACAGATCTTGGTTCAAGATCCTCATTTTGTTGCTTTATCTCAACAACAACATTATAAGCAAAAATGTTGTCGACAATAATATTATTTTGGTTCGATTTTTTTCCCATAGAGACATAACTTATTGAGATCTCTTCATTCTTATTATTTTCAGGTATCTGGACCTCCTCTGAGGTCTTATCATTTGTTATGTCACGGGACTCTTTTTGAACAATTGCCTCCATATTATGATCTCCTAGATCATTTGCTCCTTTTCGCTTTCGAGGATTTTTATCTTTGGAACCAATTGGTCTACCACGTTTCAAGCGTGGCTTAGAATCATTTGTATTTATAGATTGTCCAACCAGGACATCAATTTGAACAGGAGCATTAGCAGCGAATATGTGACATAGTCATTCTTGGTAGGTTAGTGAATGCATCTGGCAGTTGATTTGTAATATTTTACAAATAAATTATCTTTTGAATCTCGTGTTTACATTGATTTATTCGAGGATCTAAATGAGATAGTGATAATGCATTCCAATCTATCTCTTTTTGCAATTGCTTATTTTCTCCCCCTAATATTAGGTATACTGATTCATCAAAATGGCAATCAGCAAATTTTGCCGTAAATAAATCTCCAGTCATAGGTTCCAAATATTTTATAATAGAAGGAGATTCATACCCAACATATATCCCCAATGTTCATTGGGGTCCCATCTTTATGCATTGTGGTGGAGTAATTGGAACATATACTGCACATCCAAATATTCTAAGATGAGAAATATTTGGCTCCTGACCACAAACCAATTGTATTTGGGAGTCTTTATGATAACTTATGGGTTTGATCCGCACAAGAGCTGCTGCATGCAAAATAGCATGGCCCCATGCTGAAATGGGAAATTTTGTTCTCATAAGCATTGATCTAGCAATTAATTGGAGGCGTTTGATCAATGATTCCGCTAGACCATTTTGAGTATGAACATGAGCAACTGGATGCTCAATTGTTATCCCAGTTGATATGCAATAATCATTAAAGGCATGGGACGTAAATTCACCAGCATTATCAAGACGGGGTGTCTTAATTGCATAATCTAGAAATTGTGCTCTTAATCTTATTAATTGAGCTTGTAACCTCACAAAGGTCAAATTACGGGTTGATAACAAGCACACATGTGACCATCTTGTAGATGCATCTATCAAAATCATATAATATCTGAATGGTCCACATGAAAGGTGTATGGGCCCATATATATCACCTTGTATACGTTCCAAAAATGCAGGAGATTCAACTCCAACTTTA